GCCTTTCCCTCACCCACACCACCTCCTCCCTGTGCCTACATCGTGGCAAGTCTGGAAATCAGGCCTCGTAAAAAGTGGTTTTCTTTTATAAGTTGTTTGTTATTTTGCATCATCTTTTCAAATATGTTTTTTAAATGAGCTTGTCAGTTCCTACCCAAAATATGCCTGCTGGGAATTTGGGACTTTGTTGAATAATATACATCGATTTGGGGAGAACTGACACCTTCACAATATTGGGGCTTTCAGAATTCACCAAATGGCATATGTCACCAATACTCAGGTGTCGCATACAGGGTACCTGTAGGCTCACAGTTTCCAGTGAAGAAGTTTTTCACTTTAAAAAAAAATTCTGTTTTTGCTACTGCAAGAAGGCAGGAAATACAAGAAGGAAATGTAAGGCTTACAGATCAGAGAAGTTCCTCTTGTCAGATGGCAGAAAATACCAAGGAATCCATGAAAAAATGCCATAGAGCTGGCGAGTCAGTTCAGCGAGGTTCCAGGAAACAAGATCAACGTAGAGGAAATCAGTTGTGTTTCTATGTACTAGCAGTGAACACAGAGAAATCTGAAAGGCAAAACCATTTACAATTGCTCCCCTAAAAAGGAAACACTTCGGTATATATTTAGCAGACCATATTTGGCCTTGTGAGATTAAAACCACGAGACACTAGCCCAGCCGTGTGGCTCAGGGTTGAGTGTCGACCCTGCACCAAGAGGTCGCCGGTTCCATTCCCGGTCAGGGCACATGCCCAGGCTGTGGGCCCATCCCCAGTGGGGGGCGTGCAGGAGGCAGCCAGTCGATGTGCTCTCTCATCGATGTCTCTCTCCTTTCCTCTCTCTCTAAAAATAAGTAAAGAAAAATTATTTTTAAGAAAACCAAAAATTACAAGCACTTGCTCAGGAACCGGAGCGGTCTCGGCACCCGCACAGACATACGTGCTCACGGAGCAGGAGCCTCCACGCCATCAAGCTGTCAGCCCCCAGATCCGCAGGCAGGTTCCACACACTTCCTGTTGAAATGCCAGCGAGACCTGTGAATGTAGATACGATCACTCTCAAATTCCTACGGAGAGGCACCAGAGCTGCCAAAACAATTCTGAAAATGCAGAAGAAAGGGAGGACGCCCTCTCCCTCACTTCAGGACGTCCTGCGCAGCTACAGTGGCCAAGACTGCAGCAGCCAGGAGGTAGACACACAGGCAGATGGGACAGACCCACGGACGGCTCCACACACGTGCCCCGGCTGACCTTTGACAGGCTGCAGGGGCAGCTGGCGGAGCACGGCCAGCCTTTCCTCCAGCGGCACTGGAGCCGCCGCCTCCGTAGGCAAAAATGAAAACAAGAACCTTGACCTAAATCTCACACTTTATACAAAAAAATTAAACTGGAGCGTAGATTTAAATGTAAAACTTTGAGAAGATAACATTGTCTAAACTCTTCGGGACCTGGGCCTGGGCGAAGAGTTCTTAGACGTGGCCCAGACAGTTTATTAAACAAAACTTTTTTTTTTTTAAGTCAGTTTTTGATGTCATCAAGATTCAGAACTTGTTCTCAGTAAAAGACCCTCTTAATAGGATGGAAAAGCCAGTTACAGAAAATGCTTACCATCAGTGTCTAATGGAGGACTTACCTGGGATATATTCAGCCACAGTAAAATCATCCACATAGAAAATGGGCAGACTGTGAAGTGATGTCACCTCAGAGGACGTACAGATGGCAGATAAGCACCCGGGAAGATGTTCAGTATCACCAGCCATTTAAGCAAACAAATTAAAGCCATGTTGAGATACTGACTAGAACAGGTCCAGCGGAAACACCGAAGGCTGGTGGCCGTGCAGGGATCTAGATCTCTCATTCATTGCTGGGGGGCTGTAAAATGGTACAGCCACGCTGCAAAATAGTGCGAAGTTTCTTTTAAAAACTGAACATAATACTGCTATACGGACCAGCAGTCACGCTCCTGCCCATTTATCCCAGAGAAAGGAAAACTGTCCACACAAACACGTACATCGGTGTCTCTAGGTCGGTGAGTGCTGAGTGAACACCCACCCACGCCCACGCCGTGGGAGACTCAGCAGTGAAAGGGTCACCCACTGGAGCGCACCGCAGCAGGTCGGGCCTCAGGGCCCGTCTCGGAGGTCACTTGCCGTGTTATTCCATGTACAGTACAATATAGGAAAGGCAAAACTATCCAGGCACAACAGGTCAGTGACTCCAAACTGGAGAGGTGCCGTCAGATTCCTGGTTGCCGGGGGTGACAGGTGGAAGGAGCGGGGGGGGGGATGACCGTAAAGGGGTAGCTAGGAGGAGACCCCAGCAGTGGTGATCACGGCTCCAGCTCCGTTCCAATGGGGTGGGGTCACAGAACCTACAGATGTGGTAAAACCCGTATATCTGCATGCACACGCTGTACCCTTGTGGGTCCTGCTGTCAACACCGCACTGTCACTATGTGAGAGGAGCCATCGAGAGAGATGGGGTGACAAGAGCACTGGACCTCCCTGCACTGTCTGCAACTTCCTGTGCATTTAGACTTATTTCAAAACACAAAATGTATAGCAAAAGAAAAAAAATTTTACTGCTAAAAGGCAAAACTCACAGTATGAAGAGTCTGGTTCTGATGCTTGCGTTGTCCACACTGCTTTCGTCTTTCAGCATGTCTTGTCGTTTTCTGTGGAAAGCTGGTGCCAGCTACATCTCCGTTCCTGATAAGCTGCGATCCTCTGCATTCACCCGTCTCGGGCAGGGCACAGTGTGCCTGTTACACCAGTTCCCCAAGGAATCTAGGAACAGCTGCTCATTTTCAGTTTGTTCAGCCTCTTCCTTGTGGTGAGGACAGGAGCTTTTTACATGCAGGGCCAGACAAGTGTGGTTTCTTCTTTGACCCATGGGTTACTTAGAAGTGTGTCGTCTAATGTCCTGAGCGTGAGTTTCTCCATAGTTGTTGTGTTTGGAATTTGTGGAGCTTCTTGAAGTCTGTAAATGTATGTCTTTTACCAAATTAGGAAAGATTTCTGCTTTTTTTTTTTTTAAGCATTCTTTCTGTCTGGCTCTCCCTATTTGTTGCTGGATCCCAGTGAAGGTGCAGTAGACCTTTTGCAGTTGCCCACAGGTGCCAGAGGCGTTGTCTTCTTCCATTAATCTTTTTCTTCTCTCTTGGGTTTGGGTCATTTCTATTATTCTAATGTCAAAGCTCACTAATTATTTTCTGTGTCATCTCCAGTCTGTTAAGTCCATTCATTATTCTTTTTATTTTATTTTAGATACTGTATGTTTTCATTCTAAAATTTCTGTTTGGCTCTCTTTATATTTTATGTTTATCTGCTAACATTTTTTTATGATTTTATTCATTATAAGCATGTTATAACCTGATTGAACATAATTATAATAGCTGCTTTAAAGTCTTTGTCTAGTAATTCCAGTTTCTGGGTTATTTGAGTTGACGTCTGCTGACTATTTTCCCCTTGAGCATAATTGCCATTTTCCCGGCTCTCCATATACTGATCATTTTGGGCTGTGTTCTGGACATTATGAATGTTGTTTTAGGGACTCTTGATCCTGTTACATTTACTCACTGATGTTGGTATTTTTGCCGTGGCAGACAGTTAGCTTGGTGAGACTCCCTGCCGGCCCTGTGGTGCTGACATTGGTGGGGTCCGGACAGTCTCAGCTCTGGTGAGCTCTGAAGGCCCGAGTGACCGGCCGCAGGAGGTGAGAGAAGGAATCTCAGGCCAGGAGTCCAGTCAGGCAGGTTTGCTGAGGGCTCCAGCGGCGCCTGCCCTCGCCAGCTGTTTCCTGTCCGCGTGGGAGAGGCAGGATGTGCAGACAGCGCACACTGACGGCAGCCGGTGGGCGGGCTGCGCTGCCCCTCCAGGAGCCGAGCGGGAGGGAGGGGGCTGCTCCCTCCTGGAGCTGTGGGCGCCTTTCCGTGCTGGCGCTCACTGTCCAGAGCACAGTCGAGTCAGCCGCTCCCCGGCATCCTGACATCAGGGAGGGAAGTTTCCTTTGCTCTTCCTGCTCTGTGCTCTGTCCCCTTAAACAAGCATCCAGAAGGCCTTCATTTCAAAACGGGAAGGTTGGTTCTTCACTAAAGGAAACTTACTCCTTGGTGTCCTCCGGGCCTGTTCCGGACGAGTGGGAAAGATGAGCCAGGAGCTGGGAGCTCCTGCGCTTCTTGGTCTCCTTTTCCCTTACGCGGCTTCCCTCCTTGGAGTCTGGGGTCCCCGCGGTGCGCGGCTGCACGCCTTACTCTCCTGAGCTGCTGTGCTGAGGCGGGCTGTCCCCTGCCAGCCCGTCCCGTGCCAGCCCTCGCGCAGAGCCTGGACGCGGGAGCAAGAGCCCCAGCACTGTCCTCACGTGGTGTCCGGGAGAGCGCCGCCTTCTGTGGGGTCGCGAACTGGCGCGACCCCTAAGGGGAGCTTCTGCGCCCTCTCACGGACCACTTCCCGCTTGGCTCCACTTAAGTCACATCTGAATGCCCTCCAGACGCGTCTCCACCCCGGGAGTGCCACGCATTTAGTGGCTCCGCACGTCCTGAGACAGGACCTGGGCGACTGGAGGTGGCCTCCAGCTAGGGGACAGTCCGAGTGGCTCAGTCCAGAGGACGTCTAGGGGGTGAAGAAAGACGTAGGTCCTCTGGTCGCACAGATGGGCGGTGAGAAGGCAGAGTGTCCGGACCTTCAGGACTTGTCTCCAAGCACAGCGTCTAGTGCACGGGTCGTCCTGGTCTGGAGCAGAGCCGTTCTCAGGAGGCACCTGGAATGCCCGCCCGTCGCCCGAGCCAAACGAGGCGCTCTGCAAAGCAGCCCGGGTTTGAATCCTGAGGTCAGAGCTAGAGAAACTGCATTTTTAAAAAATGTGTGAATACTTTATTTTCAATCTCTGTACACTCCGTCCTTTGACTTGTTCACGCAGAGCTGACACAGCCTGCACGTGGCACGGTGAGTCTGCCGGGTCGGGCCCTGCAGCTGACACTGAGCCGGGACTGTTTCCTTCCTGACAGGGGGAGTCGGTGAAGTACTTCCTGGACAACTTGGACCGGATCGGCCAGCTGGTGAGTGCAGCCCCCACCCCCACCCCCACCCCGCATCTGCCACTGGGTTAGAAGCCCGTGTGGAGACCAGAGCAGCGAAGGTGACACGCGCCTCACTGTGCTCGGCTGTCGCATCCGCTGACCTTGAGTGGTGATGTCACCCTCCTGCTTGGGTGGGGTGGAGGGGAGTGGGTTCAGGGAGGGTCTCCTCATGCCAGTGGGGGAATTCTCACGCTCGTGTTCACAGACCTTCATTCGCCACTGAATTGGTCTGTGAGGTCGTGTTTCTGTAAGAGTCCCTTCACCAGACCCCCTGAAAGAGACGGGCACGGTAACTCCCATCATGGACAGTCCAAACGGCCAGTATAGCGTTCATGAACCCCCGGTGCCCGTCCTGCTTCCGCGGCCCCCACACTCCCAGGAGCAGATGCGTCCTTATGTCCTTTCAGAGCCTGTCTCTGAAAGGTAAGACTCCAGAGGTCAGAACCACAGTGCCTCTGTCGCTCCTAGAACGGCTGTTCTTGACGCAAGGAGACCCCTCCAGTGGGGTTCCCAGCTGCCCCGCAAGGTTTCTGTGTGCACGTGTGCTCGGTCCAGGTCATGTCCATGTCCATGTCTTTTTTTTTTTTTTTTTATCCTCACCCGAGGATATTTTTCCATTTTTTTGTACAGATAGAGTGGGAGGGAGAGAGAGGAAGGGAGAGAGAGAGAGAAACATCGACGTGAAAGGGACACATCGAGTGGCTGCCACCCGCACGACCCCAACCAGGGCCGGGGACAAACTGCAACCGAAGTACGTGCCCTTAGCGGAAACCGAACCCGGGTCTCTCCGGACCGCGGGCCAACGCTCTAACCACTGAGCAAAACTGGCCAGGGCCATGTCCATGTCTTTTAATCGGGGGGTTTCTCCCATCTTTATTTTTCTTTCACTTGTTGAAGTAACTGGGTTGTCTTTCCTGTTGGGTTCTGCCGTCCATCCTGCAGCGTGGTCGACACTTTCTCTGGGGCATTGTCGGCCCTGTTGGGTTTGGGGAGACTTCCGCCCGAGCGCCCACGTGGGGGGGTCACGGGTCTGGAGTGGGGCAGGCGAGGGCTCTGAGTGGGGCAGGTGCCTGCCCGCCGCTGGGGGCTTGAAGCGCTCTCCGGGAATAACAGTCAGTGTGTTGGAGACGCGCTCCGTTAGATCAGACAGAACTTGAGCGCATTCGCTGCAGAAGTAGGGGGAGGAAAAGGAGGCGATGGGGTAGAAACGGGAAAGGATAGTGTGTTTCTGGAGGAGGAGGCGGTGGGTGGGCCTCTCCACGGGGACTGCGGTGGGGGCCTGGTGGCGCGCCCGGCCGGCCGCCTGCTGCCCAGGGGCCGCGCTGACCCGACGCATCGGCGTGGCTCCGGGTGCTTGGCTGGCCGCCGCCCGTGAGTCCGCCTCTGCCCTCCCGGCCCGCCTCTACCTCGCGTCGCCCCCTGAAGCCCCTCTCGGTGTTTTCCAGAACTACTCGCCCAGCAAGCAGGACATCCTGCTGGCGCGCAAGGCCACCAAGGGCATCGCGGAGCACGACTTCCTCATCAAGAAGATCCCCTTCAAGATGGTGGACGTGGGCGGCCAGCGGTCCCAGCGCCAGAAGTGGTTCCAGTGCTTCGACGGGGTCACCTCCATCCTGTTCCTGGTGTCCTCCAGCGAGTACGACCAGGTGCTCATGGAGGACCGGCGCACCAACCGGCTGCTGGAGTCCATGAACATCTTCGAGACCATCGTCAACAACAAGCTCTTCTTCAACGTGTCCATCATCCTCTTCCTCAACAAGACGGACCTGCTGGCGGAGAAGGTGCGGAGCGTCAGCATCCGGAAGCACTTCCCCGACTTCCAGGGCGACCCGCACCGGCTGGAGCACGTGCAGCGCTACCTGGTGCAGTGCTTCGACCGCCGGCGCCGGAACCGCAGCAAGCCGCTGTTCCACCACTTCACCACCGCCATCGACACGGAGAACATCCGCTTCGTGTTCCACGCGGTCAAGGACACGATCCTGCAGGAGAACCTGAAGGACATCATGCTGCAGTGAGGGCCGTCTCCTGCGCGCCCGCGGCCAGCGCCTGTGCGGGGCGCCCGGCGAGGACCTGGGGGCTTCGATGAGCTACTGAATCCTGGGGTGTACACTACTGAGACTCCAGGCGGCCACTCCGGTGTCTGTCCTGGCGAGTAGCCGGCTTGCTTCTACAGGACACCTCCCTCTGACAGCAGCACAGGAGTGCGTGTGCGTGTGCGTGTGCTGCGCGCTCTCTGATGCAAACGCGGACTAGCTGGCCTTGCACACGGCTTTCCCTCTAACCGGCGGGTCTTCCCCGAGACACTAACCCAAAGCTCTGCGTGGCAGTAGTCTGTAGGAGCCAGCGCCGCTAGCGCAGCCCGCTGCCCCTCCGGAGGGCCTCCGTGCACCTCCCAGAGCCAACCGGTTGCCTTTCAAAGCTCCTGTGCCAATTTCCTGAGCCCGGGGTGCAGGCCAGTCGCTGAAGCCCAGGACCCCAGCCTCGGAGGGTGAGGTGGGACTCCGCAGGGTGTTTGTGCCTTAATGCCCCAGCTGCGCTGTCCTCCTACCTGTCACCTTGCCCAGGGCGTGTGCACAGGGCTGTCCCTCGCCCCTACCACCCAGTGCACAGCAGTGCTTATTACTCCGGCCACCCTGCCCTCCCCCACCCTCTGGCAAAGACACACCAATGGGCCTTGCGGGTGACCGCTCCTCTGCGCGTCACCTTAGCCCTGCGGTTGGCGGCACTGAAGCCATGGAGGGCTCCTGCCCTCGGGCTTCCGGACGCTGCCGGGTGCCCTGTTCAGCACAGCTGCCTGGCGGGCTGCCCACCCCGACCTTCAGGAAGCCTCAGGCCCTGCACAGACCTGCTCCCTGCAGGCGTCACCACCCTAGTGCCTCTGGCAGCGGGCCCCGGTCCTCGGCCTCCTCTCCGACCAGGGCCGTGTCCAGGCTCCAGCCGCCAGAATGTCCACACGACGCGTGCTCACTGTCGGCCGTGGCTCCCCTGGGGGGCCCGTGGGCTGCTCAGTGGCACCCAGTCAGGGTCCCCTACCTGCCAGTGCCACACTGTAAAAGTGCATTGCATTCTACTGCCCTGGTGTGTTCTTCTGCTGCGGAGTCTGTCTCGGTGGTGAGAATTTCCCCAGCATTGAAAAGGAAAGAGAGCTTCCTCTGTAGCTGGCACCAGAATCCACTGTGGTTGAATCACACATCCTAGGGTCCTTGTCCAGAGGCTGCACTGCCCCCTCCTGTGTCCCTTTGCTGTCTCCTGGACAGAGGCTGGCAGGAGGAGAGGGAGAGAGGCCTCTCCCGAGCCGCCCAGTCGGCCCTGCGTGTGCAGTGAGAGGGACGTGCACCCTGGCTCCTGGCGCGGCCGTGTGCAGCTGTCACTGACGTTTCAGCTCTTTTCGTGGGTTAGAAAAAAGTGGCTGTTTTTGTCCTGCTTCCTGGGGCTCATCACAGCTGAGGCTGTGGCCCAGGACCAGTGCTAACGTGTGGTGTGGAGGGGAGGGCACTGGGCCGGTCACTCAGCAGGTGCTCTGAGACCATGCGCCTTGGTGGCGGGCTCCCCGAAGTCCCTGCGCCAGGTGTCAGGAGTGTGAGGATCCGGCTGCTCCTCACCAGCCTGGACTGTGGCTCGGGTGAGGCTGCTGCGTGGCGGCCGTGCCCCTGCCGGCTGGTTGATCTGCTCGTTCACGCTCAGTAAGTGTGAGGGACTGTGACTGCGTGGAGCCGACCGACGCGGGGTGGGATGGCCCGAAGGCCGGGACCCTGACCAGCTCGGCTGCCACCCGGTGGGCTTGTCACTGAGCCCGAGAGGAAGGCGCCAAGGGCGCGGATCTGGATTCCGGGGTGCGCCTGCCGAGGAGGGAACTGTCCGCAAGGCGGAAGGAAACCATCCACAACTTTCCTACACGTAGGCGGTAGTCATTTTTGTCTCTGAAACCTTCAGCTTTTGTAACTTTTTATCTTAATTTCACTGTTACCCCTGGTTGTCGTCTTTTGTATTGAGGTGTTGGAGAAGCAGGAGATAGTTGTGCCTCATCTGTTATTGTGACAGTGTAACAATAAACTTCCTCGAGTAACCCTCTCCTGGTCTGTTTCCGGGATGGGGCGCTGGGGTCGCTGGAGGAGTTGTGACTGTTGGGGTTGCAGACCTCTCACGGGTGTTGAGTTTGAGCCTTTAACTTACAGTGATCTCTAGCATTCTTAGTTTTGTCCATTTTTTTACTTCTTGGATTAAAAAAATGAGTTATTTTTACTGCAAGATCAGAAACTAGTCTTGAGAGGCTTATTCGTTATCGCTGACCTGGGGTCCTAGGTCACACACGCTTGGTGTGTGAGACAGGGCCGCTAGCGGGGGGTCCATGTGCCTTCACAGCTGCCCCCGCGCCCGGATCATCACTGCTCCCCGGGTCTGGTTTGTGATTTGGCCCCCTTCAGTCTCTGGATGTTTATTAAAGTCGATCCTTAGTTTTTCTTGGCTTAATAGAAAATACCACCCTGGCCGGTTTGGCTCAACGGTTAGAGCGTTGGCCTGCGGTCCAGAGAGACCCGGGTTCGGTTCCCGCTGGGGGCACGTACCTCGGTTGCAGTTTGTCCCCGGCCCTGGTTGGTCGTGCGGGTGGCAGCCACTCGATGTATCCCTTTCATGTCGATGTTTCTCTCTCTCTCTCTTCCTCTCTCTCCCTCCCACTCTATCTGTACAAAGAATGGAAAAAATGTCCTCGGGTGAGGATAAAAAAAAAAAAAAGAAAATACCACTCAGCATTCAAAACCAACATGAAGTTCCATCTGCAGACCCACAAATCCAGAGCAGGTGACACTCCCCCTAATTCTCCCTGAAGGTGCACTGTGCTCACCACAGTTTTGTTCCCACGTGCTCCTCACGCCTGGTGCTGCTCTGGACAGAGGCCTCGGAGCGCAGCTTCCAGACCACGGAGGCAAAGACAGCTGGGCGGGCGGCGGCCACCTGCTGCGCCAGGTCCGGGAGCCTGGGCAGCCCTGCCACCTCCAGGGACCAGAGGAAGGCCAGGGGGAAGGCGGGTCTGTCGTCCTGACTCCTGGAGGTACTGTCCCAGCCGCAGAGCAGAGGGCCTCGCACACCTTGTGGCGTGGTGTGGCGTGCTCTGGACTCCTGGGAAGGGGAACGTGCGTGCTTCAGTGACGTCGCCTGCACAGGACTTCACCTGAGCACAAGTGGGACAGCAGAGACCCTCCCAGAAACGCCTCGATGAGCACCCCCCTCTGCGTGATGCTGGGTGGGGCTGCGGGCCCAGCTCTGGGAGCCAACCCCTCCACGTGTAAGAGCTGGACAGGGTTGCAGATGCGGGGCTGAGCCCCCAGGGCCCACCCAGGACGGGCATCGCGTCTGCAGACCCCTGGCCTGGGCCGGGGGATTCTGTGTTCTCGCAGCGAGGAGTCTATCACCAGGTCAGCCCCGGAACACCCCTCCCGGCCAAGAGCGCGGTGGCTTCCTCTGGCCTGTGGGGAGGACACCCCGCCCCACCCGTCCCGGGCCGCTCTCCAGATCCCTCGGTGCTGTTTCCTGGGAGGGGCAGCAGGTGGGCTCAGCGACCTCACTGACGTAACCCCGGACACTGTGGGCCTGCGCCCCTGGTCTCACCACCGGGCCTCCCGTCGGAACGCGAGAATTCGGCGGCTGGCTGTGCAGCGTTCAGGTGGGGTATTAAAATAGGTTTTTTAAAAATATTTTTTCTTTACTGATTTTTAGGGAGAGAGGGAAACATCGAGAGAGAACATCGATTGGCCACCTCCTGCATGCCCCCCATTGGGAATCGAGCCCACAACCTGGGCATGTGCCCTGACCAGGAATCGAACCGGCAACCTCTTGGTGCAGGGTCCACACTCAACCACTGAGTCACACTGGCCGGGCAAAGTAGGTAGTTTTTATTTCCACACTGCTGTCGGCACCTGTCTCTTCAGGTAAAAAGTGCTTCAGAACACAAGCAGGTCACTAAACACAGACATCTGATGCTGGACCCAGAGTGGTCCCAGGGCAGGGTGGGTGCCTGTGGTGTCCCTGACGTGGTCCCGGGCCTGGAGACCCCGGCTCAGACCTGTGCTCCACGGCCGCGGGCTCGGCCTGGCCCACATCTTGCCACCCGGGGTTCACAGACAGCTGAGCTGCTCAGGCGCTCGGCCCAGGCCCAGCCGGAGGAAGCGGGTGCGGCCAGCAGCGATGTGCTGCCCTGCCAGCCGGGCGGGGACCTGGGAACCCCGGGCGAGGGGTGGGAAGTGGGGTCCCGCCCTGAAACAGCCTACAGTGGGCAGCAGGGCCGAGAACAGGGAGCATCGCTCCTCTCTCTGACCTTGACCTGTGGCCGTGCCTCCCTGCCCAGGTCTCTCATCCGTCTTAGAGCATCACGGTGGGTCTCGTTAGGGGCCATGACCGAGCACCTGGCGTACAAGGAGCACGCTGCCTCCTGTGCGCCCCCTACTGGGGACCGAGCCCACAACCCCAGCACGTGCCCTGACCGGAATCGAACCGGGACCTCTCAGTCCACGGGACGATGCTCAGTCCACTGAGCCACACCGGCCGGGCCAGATGGCGTTCTTTACGTGTGCAGAACGTGAACCACAGCGGCCATAGGCCAGGACTTCCTGTTGGGAGCCGGCAGCCCAGCGCACTGAACAGGGGTCTCGGGCCCTGGGAGGGCCCCCCGCCTGGTCCTGGCCTTGTTCCAGGCCTGTCACTCTGGGGCCAGTCTGTTAACACGGGACTCGCTGTGTCTGTGAAGGCCAATGCGTGTCACACAAACGAGCAAGTCAGGGCCACAGGGACAGGGTGGCGTGTCCCTGCCCGGGCTGCCGGCCTGCCTGTCGAGGCTGACGGGAGCCCAGACTAGGGCAGTTAGATGAAGGGGCAGCTGAGGGCTTCTCCTGGCTGGATGTGAGCCGGCCCAGCCGCCCGCCCCTGGTGCTGGTTCCGGGGCTCACCTGCAGCGATGTTGGAAGGGCTTGGGGAGCACACCGTGGGGCTGGGGTGTGCGTCAGCACCCAGAGCCCGCCCCTCTGCACGGCAGGGACCACCCCGCTCAGTCCCGGCTCCTGGGGGTGCCTCCCTCCCCTGTCACCTGCCCTCCTGGCAGGGAGACTTGGGGCTGGGGCTGCCAGAGTGGGCAGGACTTGCCCGCGGTCAGGCCCGCAGTCCGTTCTGGGGCTGTCCGACTCAGCCAGCTGTCTGCACAGGCCTGGCCCCTTCTCCAGAGTCAGCAGGTGGGCAGAGCTCACACTGCCTGGGCCATGGGGGAGGTGATGGGAGGGCGGGGCCCACGTCATTGGGAGAACAGCGACGCCCCTTTCCCTTCATCCCCCCCCCCTCGCATTCCTTCCTCCTTGTGCCCTCAGGACAGACGGAAGGACGGAGCTCTGTGCGCTCCTGTGGCCGAGTCTCACCTCCCCAGCCTGGACCCCCAGGGTCCCCGCACTCCCCAGGTCCTGTGACTCTGCTTGACTAGGGCGAGGGGCCTGTCCCATGTGGCCCCGCGTCCCCGCTGTCAGGCTGAGGCAGGAGCAACCGCCCGGGGACATGGTGTCCCCGCCCAGCTGCCGCCTGGCCCCTGCCCCAACCGCTCCTCCCGATGACCGGCGGCGGCCGGTGCAGACTGCTTGAAGCAGCTCTTCCTTCGGGCCATGTGCAGGGCGAGGGGAGAACGGACCACTTTGCTGCTGACAGGCTGACCGCCCAGGAGGGGGCGCTTGGGCAGCAGGCGATCGAGGCCCCCTGTTGGCAGGGGAGCGAGCCCACGTGTACCGGGACCGGGCCCACACGGCTTCCTGATAAGGCCCCGCTGACCGCCCCACACGGACAAGTGTGGTAAGTGCATAACGAGCAACCCGGGACTGAGGTCAGGGATGCCGCGCCGGCAGAGGGCTGCCGCTGTGCAGGGCAGCGCACCGGGGAGGCAGGGGAGGCGGCCAAGGGTGGGCAGTGCATGCTGTCTGGAGGCCCGGACCTGGGAGGGCCGTGGAGCAGCCCCGGGGACCGAGGGGCCGAGAGCCCGGTGACCCCAGGCCGGCCCAGCTCCACTCGACAGTGTGGGTTGAAGTGCTCGGGCAGCGCCGTCCGGGCGGCCTCGCGTGGAACCGGACTGCGCTTCCGGTCTGTCGAGAGCCCGGCGCACTGAGAGGCGGTGGGGCCTGGTGCGGCTTCGTGACCCTCACGGGGCCCCTCTGGCAGCCGAGGAAGTGGGGTGAGTCCTGGAATCGCCCTGGTCCTCCAGGTGGGGGGTTGGGCCTTTCTTGGAAGCAGCTTTTTAGAAGAACCCAACACCTCGCATTCATCTGCCTCTTTCCCCAAGACGCCGAGTCCAAACGCCGACCTCTGGGCTCTCGCGGATCGAGGTGCAGCCGGACGCGGGGCCCTGCTGCCGTTTCTCCCGTGGTTTGCGTGGGTCCCAGCCACGGTTCTGCGCAGCCAGGCAGGAGGCATGTCCTGGCTTCTCCGTGGTCGAGGGCCTGCTGTTCTGAGATATTTCTCTGAGTTTCCTCGAGTCCGGGTTCCTCTGTGTTCGCCCCTCAGGGGTCGAGACTAATCCGGCTCCACTAGAGGCCCCGAAGGCTGGGTGCAGGGAAGAGGCCCACAGCAGGCCTGTGCTGGCCTCTGGGGCCCACAGGCCGCCACTAGGTCCCCCAGCCTCCTCGGGGAGCCCTGCTCCTCCCCGGCCTCCCAGGATCAAAACACCCCTGGTGGGACTCGCCCTCTCTGTACAAACAGGCAGCGAGGCCTCAGCGGCTCAGGTCTGTTTACGTTGGCGCCTTCGCCCCGGGCGCTGGCCACCCAGCCGGCCTCCGGGCCCTCCAGGGTTCTGGGGGAAGGTGCAGGGCCGCCCGAGCTTGCTCGTCAGACCAGGACCTGGCAGAGCAGGGCCGAGGGCCTGGCCAGGACCAGCCGTGGCTCCCACCTGGATGCCTGCGTCCCGCTCAGACTGACCAGGTGCTTTCCCGAGAAAGACCCAGAGCAGGGGCCCGAGCCAGAGCAGGCAGCCTGCGCGTCCGGCAGCCTCGGGCAGCGCGCCCGCCCGGTCTGGGCCTGCTCCGCCCCAGCAGGGCTCCTGCCTGGCAGGGAGGTTCTGAGACAAGCGCCCGGCTCCGGCCGGGCCGGCTCAGGGCAGGGTTTGCAGGGAGGTGGCCCTCCTCCCACAGGGACGGGGTCCAGCGGCCGCCGCGCCTGTCGGTCTGCAGAGCAGCTCCACGTGGCCCCGTGCGTGGACCTGTTGTGTGGGTGCGTGTCCGGGTCGCCGTGGCCTCTCCTTGGAACCTGGTGGGATCTAAATCCGGGCTCGTAGCTGTAACATCAGCTGCTTGGCTGAGCCTGTGTGTGTTTATTTTTTTCTGTAAGCCCTTTCGGACATTTTCCTCCAGAAAGGTCTGAATCAGCTGTCCCATGGGTCGGTGTTAGCAGGACACCCCTCCTCCCTGCCCGCGCTGGGGCCCGGCCGGCTGCACGGCCCAGCTCTCTGTCCCACAGGGCTTAGGTGGGGTGGGGGCGGGAAAGGGCTCGGATGAGCCTGTCGCTCACATGACGTGACTCTGCGTCTTGGGGAGGGAGGGGACAACTGAGGGGCCAGGAAACGGGAAGTCGGGGCGCCAGAGAGGATGTGTCGCCTTAGATCAGGCCTGGCTGCTTGGCCCCTTAATCAGTACGTGGTCTGGCGTGTGTTTAAGCTCTCGGGCCCGATGCCGGCTGCCTCACACAGGAGCCGCCCTGGGGAAGTCCAGACCTGGCGTCTGTGTAGTTCGCTCCAGCCCCTGGGCCCGGCGCTCTGAGCTGGGTGACGTCTCGGCAGGCTCCGTGCCGCTGGCGAGCTCGGAGACCCACGCGGGAGCTCCTGGGACGGACAGAGATGGAGCTGAGAGACCCGTCGTCGTCTATGCGCTTCCGAGAGTCCGAGAGTCCGTCCCCAGATCTGCTTGTCCGAACGCCCCCAGCCGCTGAGTCTCATCCGCAGCCGGGCGCCAGGCGGCGCTCTGCTCTGGCTGGTCCCCGCCCACTTGAGAAGGCTTTTCTGGGACACTCATCACAGCGGAGAGCCAAAGGCCACGGGCCCAGATAGACGCGCTGAGAACGTGGCCGTCAGCCCCGTGGCACGTGCGTGGCCCCGAGCTCCCCCCGTCCGGTCCCCGAAACGTGATCAGAGCATTTGAGAGTGTGGTGGGCACGTCTAGGGTGGAAGTGAAAGGCATTTCTTCTAGAAAGAGCCCTCGGTCGTAAACAAGTCACCACGGGGCAGCGGCCCCGCCTCCCCGTCCACGGTGCCGGGACCTGTGTGAGGGGAACGGCCCGAGAAACCCCCTCCGCGTGGGAGCCTGCCGAGGGCCCTCGGAAAGGGGGTCCGCTCTGGCTCCGGGGGGACACTCCTCTTCCTCAGAAAGAGGTCGCGGCCACATAAAAATTCTAGGCCAAGTTTGAATTCAAACATCCTGATAACTTGAGCTCGTTCCAGTGATTAACCTTTTGCAGGAGACAGAAGGGAACTGGGAGACAGGTCAGATGAGGTCACAGGGGTCACGGCCAATCCACGCTGTGAGCACCGAGGGGTGGATTTTCCTAATCGTTTTCCCACCTCCCCTGCGCCGGGGGCGGGCGGGGCTCTCTACCTTCCTGAGAGCCCAGGGCCTGCTGGACAGTGGACATGGTGACACCCGCGGACTCCCGCAGCTGGTCAGGAGAACGCGCCACTCCTGTGCCTCTGCATCCTGCCCTGGGAGCCAGCGCCTCGCAACGACACCCAGGCCGCGGGCACGGGACCGAGGCTGGTCTGAGCGCCCGGCCGGTCCCCATGTCATCCTCCCGGCAGGTCTGCCCTGCCCACTTCTACCTGCCCACCCCCTTCCTCCCTCGAGTTACCGCTGGTCCCTGGGCTGCCTCTGTGACCGGAGAGAACTGGGGACTGAAGGGCTGCGGCCCCTGCTTCAGCCCACACACACGCACTCTGGGACAGGCTCCCGGGACAGGGCCCCAAAACAGGCTCCTGGGACGGGGCCCCAAAACAGGCTCCCGGGACAGGCTCCTGGGACAGGGCCCCGGGACAGGGCTCCGGCTCCGGCCAGTGTCTCTGGGAAGCTCCAGGCTGCCTTGCTTGGGGCTGGGGGGCTCCCGCGTCCAGGTTGTTATTTTGTACTATTTTTCTTAGGCCCCCAAAACTGTATGAGCTGCCCCCCTCCAGATGGGACAAACCGCTGTGACCCACTCCTCCCGCCACCAGACCTGGGCTGCGGGACTCGAGCCGGCCGACAGGGCACTGGACAAGGAGAACGGTCAAACCGGTGTGCTCGAAAGGGTCAAATCACGGAAGCAAGTCGCAGAAGTGGGGGGCGGCAGTCCCACCGTCGGGGTGCAGGTTGGAACACGGTGCTGTCATTGCCGAGCGGACGGCGACAGAACTGGATGAGGTCAGTGCAGAGGGTCTCAGGGACACTGGCTGTGGCCGGGTCACCCGCTGCCCTGCAACATTGTCATAGGACACCCCAGAGGCACGTGCTCAGGGTGGGGGGGGCATCCAGAACTGTCACGGCCCCCCCAGGAACCCCCGAAGGACCAGAATGCCATTAACACCCCAGAAAGCGACCCTTCTGTGTGGGGGTGACCTGTAGACAGAAACAAACCCCTGGGCCCCCCCGAGGGGAGACCCCAGTCATGGGCCTCAGGGGCCGAGTGGGCAGTGGCAGGGCCCAAGTCACCCCCGCTGTAGATACTAGAGGGACTCACAGGCCCAGAGACCCCACCACAGTGAAGTCCGGGCTGGGACCGGGGCCGCCCTGCCAGGGTGCGTAGGGGCTGGGAGGCTGGTCAGCAGGGCACAGGGCTCGAGGAGCCGTCTGAAGATGGATGTTCCTCAGTTTCCTAGGGACCCGCCTCCTGGGTCCTGGGTCCTGGGTCCTGGGTCCTGGCCGGCGCCGGGCACGTGTCCCAGGGAAAGCCAGGCGTCAGCCAGGGCACAGCGCGGGCTAACTGTCCTCGGCCTTGCCGCGGCCGGGGGAGGAGCCCGCCCTGGACACCTTGCGCACAGACAGCCTCTTCCTCAGGGCGGACAGCTTGTGCCCCAGCACCTGGCGCAGCCCCGCGCTGTCGCCGCCGCCACCCAGGTCCCGCCTGGGAGCTGGGAGCCGCCCCGTGAACATCTGCCAGGGCACCAGGCTGTCCACGGCTCCGTCCACCCGTGCCACCTCCTCCTCCGTCACCTCCCGCCCCAGGGCCTGGATGCAGGCGGCCAGCCAGCGTCCGTGCTCTGCGACGGCGTCTGCGGGGCTTCTGAGCTGGGGTGGGGCCCCCGAGGCTGCCGGGGAGCCCGGCCCGGCCTCAGGCCCCAGCTCTGCCCAGGAGACGGGGGTCCACGCGCTGGGAGAGGTGGCCTCCGACAGGCTGGTGCCAGGCTCCGAGTCGCTGTCACAGCACAAGCCCGAGTCAGCGCTGCAGGGCGGGGTGTCCTCCGCCACCGAGGGCTCCCCCACCTCCCGGCCCGGCCAGGTCCTCGCCACGGCCTGTGTCCAGGCGTAGAGTCTCTGTGAGGGAGACACACGGGAGGCTTCCTCTGTACAGTCACTTCCCGGCCAGGGAGCCCTTCCCCTAAGGGGACCCCACTGCCCCCAGCCACCCGAGCAAGGGGCAGGTGAGGGACGAGCCCTGGCTGGTGCCTTCCGAGGACTGGAGCCGACTCAGCTCGCCAGACCCCACTGCCCAGCCGATGGCCACAGAGCGAAGCACACGGAGCTCACAGGCAGGTTGTCAAGTTACATTAAAGCAAAAGGGACGCCCGGCTGATGTGGCTCCGTGGTTGAGCATCCGCCCTGCACCAAGAGGTCCCGGTTCGATTCCCGGTCAGGGCACATGCCCAGGTTGTGGTCCTGATCCCCAGTGGGGGGTGTACAGGAGGCCGATCCATGTTCGCTCTCATTGATGTTTCTATCTCCCTCTCCCTTCCTCTCTCTCTAAAATCAATAAAGCGGGGGGGAGCAAAAGGGAATAAATGCTCAACACTCCTCAGTCCCGACTGTGCCGCATTCCGCCGACCACTGCTCTGCCCTGTCCCGCCTGGGGGCCGCCCCTGCTGTGCGGCGGGGCCTCTGCCCCCTCTGCCCCCTCTGCCCCCTCTGCCCTCGGCAGCGGTGGAGCCCGGCCACGGTGACAGCTTCCACACCGTGGAAACCGGCGGCCTCCACAAATCCACGCCCTTTCTTCCGAGGGGCCACAGGCAGCAGAGACCGTTCCTGGCCAGGGTCACCGCTGCGTCACCTACCAGCGTCCTCAGCAGCTGTCCCAGTGACCAGGGCTCCGGGGACCCCGGGACAGCTTCCCTCCTACAGCCAGGCCAGGGCCCCTCAGGGGCACAGCTGTGGCCGCCACCCTCCCCCCTCGGGGCCAGGGCCCCTTCCTCCACCGAGCGCCTCTAAGCACATGGATGACACCCAGGGACAGTCTCTGGGCGGGAGGCAGGCGTCCTGGCTGGGCGGCGGGGATGGAATGGACATGGGTGGCCGGGCCGGGGAAGGACACAGCAGGCATCCAGCCCGTCTGCAGCCCGGGACTGGCCGCCTCCACCTCACGCGCACCCAGAGGACCCTACGCTGCTCCCTGTGACCCTGCTGCCAGCCTGGAGGGACAGCGATGACCGCACCATCCCACCCGAATGACCACTGCAGCCACGCTGAAGACGAGGCTCTGAGAGCCGGGGCTGCCCGGGGTCCCCCCTCCACCAGAGCAGGCCGCTGCCTCCCCACTCCTCGAGGGGTACCACAGAGGCCGGGGACCTGGAGACGCCGGCCCCGAGGTCAGGGGCCTCAAGGTGGGGTCCCCGACCAGAGCGTCACCCAGGGTGCGAGTCTTAGAGCCTCGTGCCCAGTTTGGTAGCTAGACCGTCACCGAAACCTGGACCCACCGAAACCGCGTGCCCTGAGACCCAGGCTGCCCCCCCCCCACCCCGAGGAGAGGCCCTTCCTGGGAACTCGGCCCCGAGATTTCACTTAAAGCTGTTGGCTGAACACTTTTGGTTTTAAAATGAAGCCAAAGTGTCCTGGCTGGTTTGGCTCAGCGGTTAGAGCGTCGGCCTGCGGACCAAAGACTTTCGGGTTTGATTCCGGTCGAGGGCACGTACCTCGGTTGCGGTTGTCCCCTGCCCTGGTCAGGGTCTTGCGGGAGGCAGCCAGTCGATGTCTCTCTCTCTCTCTCCCTCCCTCCCTTCCACTCCCTCTGAAGATATTTGGAAAATTATCCTCAGGTGTGGATTAAAAGATACAATAAAATAAAATGAAGCCAGAGATAGCTGGTTGATAGGCTTTTGCTCGTTATTCAGATGAAAACTTTTTAAACTCAGTATTTTCATTCAGAAATGGACTTAAAGGGGAAAAAAAAACCACCACGTGCCTTTGAACTCTCCGAACTCCGGGGGTTTTTCCGCAAACTTCTGGGGCTAAGGTCTCCCCGCAGTGCCTCGCGCCGCCAGCAGAGGGCAGCACAGCCGCGTGGGCTGGCGCCGCCCCTCCTGCGGGCCTGCCCTTCCCCAGGTGCAGAGGAGTGGGGGGCCCATGCTGTCGCCACAGCGAGGGGGCCTCCGGGGGTAGCACCCAGGTGGGACCAGGGGCACCAGGCCAGGCCCTGCACGGAGCTGCACTCCGTGAATCCGGCTCTTGTTGACAGACAGACAGACGCCCCCACCAGCTCCTGCCCGGCTCCAGGTTAAGGCTCCAGCGTGCTGCCTTGTCGATCAGCGAGACCCCGGGAGCCGGACCCAGCAGACCTTTCCTCGCATGGGGCTAGGCGCCCAGGACCCCACCGTGCCCCGCTCCCTGCCCAGGGCCGCCGCCCAGGGGCGCAGCTCACCTCGTACCTCTCCACCAGCTTGAAGCCCAGGACGTGCTGCAGCTTCCGCAGGCAGATGGGACAGAGGTCCAGGGGCCGCCGCAGGGCCTCGTCCAGGCTGAGGGCCCCCTGCATGACGCAGCGCAGCCAGCGGCAGCTCCCCAGGCCCAGGAGGTGGCAGAGCTCGTGGCAGGTGACCTGAGGGGAGCCCGCCAGTCCTTCCAGCCCGGACCGCCACCCCCGCGCGGCCCAGGACCCTGGGCAGCCCCCCGGGCCCTGAACGCCCCGGAGAGGCCAGACAGCCAGGACATGGTCCGAGCATCGTCTGGCCCCCGCCCCAACTGCCCAGGGTGTTGACTGGTGGCCGTGGTGTGGCAGCCAGGCCCGCATGGCTAAAGGGAGGCAGGCAGCGTGGTCGGCGCTGGGGCCCTGGGGTCAAGCCCCAGCCTTGCCCCTGAACAGCTGTGGCCTGGGGCAGGGCCAAGGCATCTGAAGTGGAGGCTCATCCTTACGAGGACAGGACAGTGTAACTGGCCAGACACGGAGGGGCCCAGCGCTGTCCCTCGTGTCCTTCTGTCTGAACCCAGCCCCAGCCCCAACAGCTTCCCAGGGCTCACCAACACCCCCATCCCCGCCCCGTCCTCTGCACCCGCTCACCTTGCAGCACTGGGCCAGCCCCAGGCTCCCCCGCCCCGTCCTCTGCACCCGCTCACCTTGCAGCACTGGGCCAGCCCCAGGCTCCCCCGCCCCGTCCTCTGCACCCGCTCACCTTGCAGCACTGGGCCAGCCCCAGGGCCCCCCCGCCCTGTCCTCTGCACCCGCTCACCTTGCAGCACTGGGCCAGCCCCAGGGCCCCCCCCGCCCCGTCCTCTGCACCCGCTCACCTTGCAGCACTAGGCCAGCCCCAGGGCCCCCCCCGCCCCGTCCTCTGCACCCGCTCACCTTGCAGCACTGGGCCAGCCCCACGGCACTGAAGCACAGGGTGTGGCCTCCATCCCGCAGGTCAGTCTTGGGGTCCTCTGCTGCCCCCCGGGCCAGGGCCGGATCCGAGGCGCTGGACACCCCCCTCAGGAGCTCCCCTGAGAACCGGGCAAAGCTGCACACGCCGACTTCTGGGGAGAGGCAGAGAGAAGGGGCTCCAGGGACAGTCCTGCCACCGGGTCCCCAGGACAGGGCCAGGGGGCGAGCCCAGCCTGAGGCGCTGGGACGGGCTGGAGCCTGAGGGCATCTGTTTGCACCTGTCTCCCCAGGACAGGCCTGTGGAGGGGTGCTGGCACCCGGGGGCCGACTCACCGTGCCCGGGGAGGAAGGTGCCGAAGGTGAAGCCCCAGGCCTCGCAGGGGTACAGGTCGGACAGCGTCAGGCCCAGCACACACAGCGCGTCGCCCGGCTTGCTGTCCTTCAGGAAGGACAGGATGCCATCTGGGGGCCAGAGGGGGCTTGAGGTGGTGGCCGGGCCGAGGCAGGGAAACCCTGCCCCTCCCAAAGGACACGAGCTCGTGAGTGACGAGCTGCGAGGAGCCACGAGACTGAGGACCCACAGCCGTCCGGCAGCTTCCTGGGAGCAGGGGCCACAGGCCTGGGCCTCGGGGTGACAGCCTGGGTCACCGGGGAAAGTGAGACCTCAGGGCCTCCCCTTCCTGAACCGTCAGGACAGCCGGGCACACGTGGTACATGGTCCCGGATGCCCAGCAACACTCAAGTAACACCTGGAGGCCACGGGCCAAGACTGTTCAGAGGGACGGTGCCACGGGGGCGGGAGGCCCAGAGACACAGCGTCCCAGGTCCCCGGGACCCGGGAATGTGCTCCCCGTGGGCAGAGGTCTCCCAGGCCTGGGGAGGGGGTGAAGCCACACAGCCAGGAGAGGACGGTGGGGCCCAGGGGTGTGCATCGTGGAGCCGGAGCAGAATCACACTGGGCTGGGGGCTTGAGGGCGGCTCAGTCCGAGGTGGACGCAGTGGCCGAGGAGACGGCACCGCGCGGGGCAGGGAGAAGCTGAAGGACTCGGGCTGTGGGCTGAGGGCAGGGGGGCCGAGGTCCTGCCTTTGGCCAGTGCTCTCTGGGCCCCTCCAGACCGTTGGGGTTGGAGAGGGCTGTGACCAGAGACCAGGATGTGACCAAACCTGGAGCCTGGGACATAGGAAGAAACACGCCACTGCCGGGTGGCCCACCCACCCAGGAGGTGCCTGTCAACCCGGGACGGCCCGCTAGGACAGTTAGTCCAGCCCTCCTGCTAAAAGATCACCGGCCACTGAGTGAAGCGCAAGACCAGCTTCTTAAACCGTGTGAGACAGGTACCCGGAGCCGGGACACGGACGCCTCGGGCTCGGCAGGCTGTTCCTTGTCCGGTCCTGGTGACACTGTGACATCAAGACCCACAGAACCTGTACCCTCAAAAGGAAACAGCTCTGGCCGGCGTGGTTCAGTGGTTAGAGCGACAGCCCGTGGACAGAAGGGTCGCAGGTTCAACTCCCGGTCAAGGGCATGTACCTGGGTTGCAGGTTTGACCCCCAGCCCCAGTTGGGATTGTGCAGGAGGCAACCAATCGATGTATCTCTCACATCAATGTTTCTCCCTCCCTTCCACTCTCTCTAACAATCAGTGGGAAAATATCCTCAGGCGAGGATGAAAAAAAAAAAGGAAGACAGTTTCTGTAAGTTATGGTCCATAAGCAGACTTTAAAAAACCTGAGACCTGACAATGCAATGGAAGGAGAGGATTCTTGCTGAAATCTCTGATGGGGAGGTGGGGGGTGACCCTGACAGAGGGCCTCCCCCTGGGCCACATGAGACCCTCCTCCCAGGGGCATCGGGGTGGCCCGGACCACTCCCGGGGGCATCGGGGAGGCCCGGAAAGCCTCATGTCCTCTCTGGACAGACATTCCCTGTGCCCAGGCCACAGCTCTTCTCACAGCAACAATCAGAGGACCGGCTCAAGATCAAAAGTGAGGCGCAGGACGCAGCCAGACAACAGCTGGATTCGCAGAAATGCCAGCAGCCAGGTGCTCGGAATAGGAGCCCTCGGACACAGGTCGCAAAGCAGCGACACTGGGGCGTTTTACCCGGAACTGGACACCCTAAGAAGGGACTCCGCTAACCTGAGAAAGAATCCACTAGAGAACTGAAAAATTAGAGTGGAAAGTAGGACCTTAGTGTATGCGTTTGAGAGAGCTTGTCCCTGGAGGAGAGCACAGGAGGGAGGGGCTGGGGAAGAGGGCGGAGCCTGGGGAGGAGGGAGGAGCTGAGGAGGGCGGAGCCTGGGGAGGAGGGAGGAGCCGGGGAAGAGGGCGGAGCCTGGGGGAGGGGCCGGGGAAGGGGGAGGAGCCTGGGGAGGAGAGAGGAGCTGAGGAGGGAGAAGCCGGGGAAAAGGGAGGAGCCTGGGGAGGAGAGAGGAGCTGAGAAGGGAGGAGCCGGGGAAAAGGGAGGAGCTGGGGAAGAGGGAGGAGCCGGGGAAGAGGGAGGAGCCGGGGGAGGGAGGAGCCAGGGAAGAGGGAGGAGCCTGGGGAGGAGAGAGGAGCTGAGAAGGGAGGAGCCGGGGAAAAGGGAGGAGCCTGGGGAGGGAGGAGCCGGGGAAGAGGGAGGAGCCTGGGGAGGAGAGAGGAGCTGAGGAGGGAGGAGCTGGGGAAGAGGGAGGAGCTGGGGAAGAGGGAGGAGCCTCAGAGGAGGGTAGAAGGTGGAGCCTGCGGAAGAGGGTGGAGTCTGGGGAGGAGGGAGGAGCCCACACAGCTGGAGTCTGGGCAGGAGCAGAGTCTGGGCAGGCGGGGTGGCAAAGGCCAGGCGTGGTTAGTCCACTCCCAGAGCCCAGCCCAACTGGGGCCTCCCTGCACTTGGATCCGAGCCTCCTACACACCTGAGCACCCCGTTCACATGGGCCTCTCGACCCGGCCAGTGGCCAATGGCCAGTGGCCCTGAGGACTGGGGAGGGGGTGTCTTTGAGACACAAAGTGCTTCGTCAGACTAGAGTCTGAGAGATGCCCCCGGAGGGGACCCGCCGCACCTACGCAGGCCTGTGTTCCCGGCGGGCCCGGGGCTGTGTGGCCGAGCCCGCAGACACCTCTGGGTGGGAGGGGAGCGCTCGGCTGGGTCCTCCTCTTCAGAAGGCTGGGGACAGATGTCCCCTAGCAAAGAAGGGGGCTGCCTCTTGCCCTCAGGAGGGGCCTGGGCCCCGGCCGACCCCGCCGAGCCCTCACCTGTGTGGAGCTGCCGCCCGTCAGAGTCCTGGCTGGGGCGCCAGCAGCAGCGGATGGACGCAGCCGCCACGGAGGGCAGGCACCTGACCTGCAGGCCCAGGAAGAAGGCCTCCGTGCAGCTCCGCAGGGAGTCCAGCAGGGCGCCGCCCACCGGGCCCTCCTTCACATCTGGGGAGAGTGCACTGTCAGCCGCCTGCCTGGCCCCGCACCACGGCCCCCCAGGGCCCCCCACCTCGGGCCCCCCCAGGACCCCCGCACCGGTTCTGGGCCTGCGAGGCTGCTGCCTCCTGTTCTCACTGCACATTATTAAAAGGGAGGAAAATGGAAGAGAGGCCGATGCCCGGGGCAAAGGCCAGCATGCCAGGTGGGAGCGGGGAGGGGCTGGGGCCCACCAAGCCAGGCTGGCCAGGTGGGGACAGGTGCGAGCAGATCAGAGACCCTGCTGTTTACTCTTGCAAAGAGCTGGCCTGGCAGGAGCGGGGCGTAGGGAGGGTGCACGGTGAGACCATGCAGGTGGGCGAGGCCGGCCCAGGGCAGCCAGGAGCCTGGGGATGGAGCACAGAGGGGCATGGACGGAGGGTGGGAGGCAGGAGACCTGCGAGGCAGGGACCACCGTGGCCCTGGGCCCCCCCAGACCCGAAGTAGAACCTGCATTTTAACAAGCTGAGCTGTGAGTGGGACATGAGCACCATGGATGGTTGGGAGCTGTTTGGGGCGAACTTGTGGGCGGAGGGGGTGATGGGGAATAGGGGTGCCTGCAGCCCGGTCCCGAGGGGGACGGTGTGGGCAGCGAGGAGCAGAGCCAGCCTTCCCCTGGCTCCCAACAGACACCTGGGGGGGACCCGTGGGACACTGCACCTCTCAGCTCAGCCCCGAGCCTCTCCTCCAAAGCCATGGCCACATCTGTCCCCTGTGCCCTCCACCAGGCTGGGCCACCTGCCCTGGGCACGCAGAGACCCATAGGCCGGGCTTTCTGAACAGTGTCAGCACGGAGACGGGTAGGCGAAGAGCCCTGCCCCCCAACCCCCAGCCCACCAGCACCACACCCCACATTTCAGGTCCTTCCTGCCTGGGGTCCCGGCACAGATACCCCCCTTGGCTCCATTCAGGCTCCTGTCCCCAGAGCGATGGCTCCAGGACACCCCCTGAAGCTCTTGGCCTCTTGCTGTCCCTGCGGGGTGCCCCCAGCCCTCTGGGAAGTGGGTCCACACCCCTGCCCTGGTACCGATGGGCTGCAGGTAGATATGTCTCCGCCCCGGGGCCTGCCTCCTGGTCAGCAGGGCGGCCTGGAAGGTCTCGAAGTCCTCGGGGGCCTCGGGGCGACTGAGGAGCCAGTCGAAGGCCGTGTATATGAGCGGCGTGCAGAACAGCGTCCTCCGGGGGTTGTAGGCCTCAGCCAGGAAGAGCCTCTCAGCTGGGCAGAAGGTGGCCACGTAGAGCTGCCGCAGGGCCGGGTCGGTGGAGACCAGCGCGTCCTTCAGGGCCCGCGGGCCGAGGCTGAACTCCTGGGCCGGCCGGCACTGCAGCATGGTGGGCCTGGCCCGGGGGCCCCGCTGCAGCCCAGGAGCCACCGGGGCACGGCGACGGCCGCGATCTCTAGAACCTTCCCACAGGCGGACTGGAGTGGCTGCCAAGGGCTCCCTGCAGACGCCGGGCCTTGTTCGCAGCAGCGAGGGGCGGCCCGGACACCTCCTGGCCCCTGGGCATCCTGCCAGAGGAACAAGCACAGCTGAGCACGTGGGCCTGTTCTTAGGCAGAAGGGGCCTCGTGAGGGACAATGTCTGTCAGCGGAGCCCCGGCCCCAGGACGCCACACTGCACCCGTAGGGGACACAGGACGCTGTTTGTCTCCGCCCCCCGCAGGCTGGGCCCTTGGCCAGCACCCAGGATGGCAAGGACCTCCCCACAGTGGGGACCCGTGGTTCTCTGGAACCCCGCAAGGCCCCGGGGAGCCCCAGTGCCCAGCCCCTACCTGACTCCTGCCTGAGCCCCCAGCAGGGAGACCACCCCACCTTTGTGCCGAGTCCTCGTGGTCAGAGGGGCCCCTCTGGGCAGGAAACTGGCCGCTCGGCCCCTGTGATCACCAAGTGCGTCCGGCCATCGCCCAGGGCCCCCAGCACCTCGGACCAAGCTTTCCTGGCAGAGGCCTGTGTGCCCGAGGGAGGAGCCACCGTCCCCGAGCCCACGTGGTCAGGCCAGACGGGCCCAGCAAGCGAATGTGGGGACGAAGGCAGCCCCTCAGTGTCCAGACCCAGAAGCTTCCTGGGCCCTCACACCAACCAGAAGAGCTATAAATGGGAGCTGTGTCCAAGCAACAAAGAGACCTTTGGCTGTGAGGACCGACCAGGGGGAGTGGAGCCACTGGGGAGGGACAGATGGGCTGGGGGCGCCGGGACAGTCACCTCCCACTGAGGAGCGAGGGCGGCGCATCCCCGAGTTGACCGGAGACACCCTGAAAGCTACCCGTGAGCAGCCGGCTCTGATCATGGCACCTGCTGTGGGCCCCCCGTTAGGTCTCTGTCCAAAGACACGCCCAGCCGGGGGGTCCTGAGTGGGGGAGCCTCACAGACGGGGGGTGAGGAGGAAGAACAAGCCAGAGGCAGAGAAAACAGATCACACATAACTGCAGAGAGAAGGGCGGGGAGAACCCAGCACGGGGCTGGTTCTTGATTTAGAAAATGAAGCCAGCCCTGGTCCGTGTGGCTCAGTGGTTAGAGAGCCGGCCCGCGGACCAGAGTCTCGGGTTCGACTCCAGTCAAGGGCACGTACCTCGTTGCAGTTCGATCCCTGTCCCTGGTTGGGGTGGTGCAGGAGGCAGATTCGATCCCTGTCCCTGGCTGGGGTGGTGATGTGTCCCTCTCACACTGGTGTTTCTCTCTCCCTCTCTCCCTCCCTCCCACTCTGTCTGAAAATCAATGGGAAGATGTCCTCGGGTGAGGATTAAAAAGAAGAAAAGGAAGAAACTGAAGCCAGATATGCAAAGCACATCTGCGGAACTCGGGCGGGGCCACAGTGAGCTGCAGGACAGGACCCGGCCTTGTTTTCGTGGGAAGAGGGGAGAAACCAGCCCACTCCCTTCAGCTGACCCCAATTAAAAAAAATTTTTTTTAAATCCTCACCCAAGGACATTTTTGCATTTACCTTCAGATAGAGCAGGAGAGAGAGAGAGAGAACCATCAACGTGAAAGGGACACATCGAGTGGCTGCCACCCACACGACCCCAACCAGGGCCAGAGACAAACTGCAACCGAGGTACGTGCCCTTAGCGAGAACCAAACCCGGGTCTCTCTGGTCCGCAGGCCAATGCTCTAACCACTGAGCCAAACCCACCAGGGCCAGCTGACCTCAATTTTAAAACATCCGTCTGGAAGATGACTGTGTGTACCCCCCTCATCTGTGTGCATTTGTGTTCGTGGGTGTGCAGGTGTGTGCAAGTCGGTACATGGACACAAGAAAGCTGGTGTATGTGACCCATCCACTCACTTGGGAAGATCATGCGGTCCCGTTTTCCCAGGGGGTACACGGCGCACCTGAGCCGACGCAGTCTTCCCAGTGAAGCGCCAGCCTACAGGGGCGCCCACCGCGACCCCCAACACGAGGCTGTGCCCTTCCTTCTGCAGATGGGTACTGACCCACCTCAGACCCACTACAAATGCACGTTGACACGCTTTGGACGCAGGGTACCAGAGCCTCTCCCAAATCCTTGACCGTTCTAGTTTGAAAACGCCGGGTCGAACAGCTTCCCAGCCGCACCGTGAGGAACATCTCCGTACACAGGCCTGTGCCAGCCTCTCCCCAGGAGGCCTCCGGAGAGAAGACACGGCACAAAGGTTGTGCCTACGTGTGACCCCGTCGGCCCCTGGAGCTCCGACCAGTCAGCAGCAGGTAAAAATAACTGCAAGCCCTGGACCGAAGGGTCGTGGGTTCGATTTCAGTCAAGGGCCCGTGCCTGGTTGTAGGCTTGATCCCCGGTCAGGGCCGTGCGGGAGGCGACCGATCAATGTGTCTTACATCCATTTCTCTCCCCCTCTCACTTTATCTAAAAATCAGTGAAAAGAGCCCGCCAGTGTGGCTCAGTGGACTGAGCATCAGTGGACCGAGCATCGTCCCATGGACTGAGAGGTCCCAGTCAGGGTGCATGCCCGGGTTGTGGGCTTGATGCCCAGTGGGGGGCGTGCAGGAGGCAGCCGATCGATGTCTCTCTCTCACATCAATGTTTCTATCTCTCCCTTCCTCTTTCTCTAAAAAAAATAAATGAAAACATTAAAAAAAAGAGCCCTGGCCAGTTTGGCTCAGCAGTTAGAGCGTCAGCCTGCGGTCCAGAGGGACCCAAGTTCGGTTCCCACTAAGGGCACGTACCTCGGTTGCAGTTTGTCCCCGGCCCTGGTTGGTCGTGCGGGTGGCAGCCACTCGATGTGTCCCTTTCACATGAGAGAGATGTTCCTCTCTCTCCCTCCCACTCTACCTGAATAAAAAAATGGAAAAATGTCCTTGGGTGAGGATAAAAAAAAAAAAAAAAAGATATCCTCGGGTGAGGATTAACCAACAAACAAAAGTAACTGCCAAGAGCCCTGAACCCCTCCATTCAGCCAGGCAGGGCTGCCATCGCTCTGACGCCTCAGGAGCAGGGACAGTTATCCCCATTTTCAAGAGGGTGAAACTGAGGCCAGTAAGGTTAAACCTCCCTGGACGCTCAGCCCTGAGCCCACAGCTGCCTGAGCACCAGGGACCACGTCATCTCCAGCCGATGTTTGCGTCCGGACGCGGTTCAGGTGACCCTGCTTAATGTGCCGCTCTCACCCCCGACCTTCCGCCCCCCGACACCCACCCCAACACCCGAGCTGGAGCAACAGGCTTTGCTGCCAATGGCCACCTCACAGGTCCACCGTCCCCTAAACCCAGACGTGACTTTTTGACCCAACACCTCACCCAAACCCACAACCCTCTGAAACGTGGCTTCCAGAACCACCCATCTGCTAGCACAGGAGGCGGAGGCTCAGAGGAGCGAGGCCATGAGCCCAGGGTTGAACGCTTGCCAGGACAGACGCAGACGGTTCCCGGATTCCCGCACAGGGCCCCTCTCTCTGGGCCTCATTGCAGGAGCTGCTCCTACCCCCCAGGGTCTCCCGCCAGCATCTGTCCCCCTGCCGCTCACAGACCCGCTCCGGTGCTCAACCGCCAGGAAATACCTCTGTCCCAGGCAAAGCTTCCGGAAATAAAAAATGCCTTTTTCCCAAAAGTTCAAGGGCCCTGCCGTGTCCATCCCAGGTGTGACTGGGACCCAGCCTGTAAACACCAGGCTCATCTCAGCCCCGCAGAGAGGACGAGGCACGTGGTTCAGGAAGGGCCACGGTGGGAAGCTCTCCGGGGGCACTGGTGAGGACAGACCTGCCGGCCAGAAGGACCCAAGACAGCGGAGTCGCCAAGGAGGTGGCCGGGAGCCAAGGCCACGGGGCTTGTGCCTGTGCCACAGGGCCCTTGCACGGCCACGCCCTGAGAGTTTCGCGTGTCCACATCGCTGTGTCTAAACCTACAACCGAGGGGCGTGTGAAGCAGGCACACAAGTGCGGCCTCCGTCTGCGTCACGCGCACAGCGCTGGTGGCAGGGCGAATCCTTCCCAGTACTTTTGGGAGAAGGGTTTTGACCTCACGGCTGCCCTGCAGGGTCCCCGGGACACACTTAAGACCATCAGTTCCTCTCTGAACCCTCCGTGGCGAGCACACGTGTGCTCAGAGCACCCTCAGACGCCGAGCCAGAGAAGCCCCGTGAGCCTGGGAGAAGGGACCACGTCCACTCAGCACCAGCGTGAGCTGGGGGTCAGCGGGACATGAGGCTCCAGACTGGGCACAGGCTGTTTGAGCCCGTCCTTCCCCTCAGGTCCCACTCTCTCGGGTCTGGGACTGTGCCTGTCCACACGGCATTTCCTCTCAAGAAGCCCGTGTGCTCACATTCGTCTTCCTGGGTCACTCAGGGAACACCCCCCGCCCCCCAGATGACCCCATACGGCCGGCTCATCTCTGCCCCAGCCCCTCCGCACACAGACACTGGACGTGGCGGAGGCCGTGTCCCAGCAGCTGGTGCCACAGCGGGAGCCGCAACCAGAGCCAGGGTCTCCGCAGCCCTCTGACCACGGACACTCCAGAAGGGACACCTCCAGGACCATCTCCTGGCTGTCCTTGGCTCTGTCACCACCACCACACTGCGTGTCAGGACAGCAGTGAGGAGCACACCACATCTGCAGTGTCTCATTCGAGCCACAACCTTCCGACGCTGCAGGTGCTGTCCGGTCCCATGTCTCAGACAGGGAAACTGAGGCCTCAGTCCCACAGCAGGGCAGTGGTTGGCCCCTGTTTCAAAGGCAAGCTTCACACCGGAGTCCGGACTCTGACTGTGCTGAAGGGTCCCAGGAGCAGAGAAGGTCTAACGCGAGCCCAGGTGGGACTCTCCTCTCCCAAGGGCAAGCGACACCTTAGGGCGGCCCTGTTAACAACGCTGGGGCCAGGGCCCAGCTCCCGCCAGCCTGCTCTCC